CCTCTAGCCTAGACACCACATCTACGCTATTAACTACTACTCTAGCAGTGTATAGGGTGATCCGTCTTTATCGGAAGCCCTCTACTAGAGTTTCTGTCATGGGGATGGACGATGAACCTACAAACAAGTAAGAGTAAAGCTTAACTTATCAAAAGACTTAATAACATAAGAACCACGAGCACTCACTTAGTGGGAGAACCCGTTGAAGTAAAGATGCTCATCGAGGTACAAGTTGGGGAGACACTGACAAGTCCGGCGCTTCCCCGAGCTCTCCCTCACATCTCTCCCTTACTACTCTAGAAAGCTATCTAGGGCATAAGCCCTTGGAGTGTTGCTCAAATATGGTGCTCTTTCCCTTGAGGTGTTGTGAAATGAGGAGGGGGTGGCCTCCTTTTATAGGCGGAGAGGAGGAACGGAGGCCACTCAATTCTTTGCATGCCTCCATGCGTTAAGGCGGTGGAGCAAGGGAAGGTCGGTCTAAGTACTATTTTTGGACGAAGCCTGGTCTGTCCACCTCTACATGTCGCCCAGGAATCGACATATGAAGGGGTGGCAGAGAGGCGATAGTGGGGGGTTGGCCGCCCCCTGACCTATCCCCCTCGCCACCGCCTTCGCATGGTGGGCTGTGGGCTGGTCCTAGGTTCCTCTTTGATCAGTATTTCGCCCGGATGGCTTGAGTTGTTGGGCGTTTCTATTTATCTTTTGCGCATATCAGCGTTGTAAATGCCTTTCAGTGAATTTCTCCATGTATTTCTGTTTGTGGCCTGCAAAATAATAACCTCCAAATACATGTGGAACTTTGTCAATAGTCAATGCATATGTGTTTAGGATTGTTAATTTCTCTTCTTTTTATGTCTTAATTGGCGGTCGGAATTGGAGTTAAGGACCGCCAACAGTCATGTCGGTGGGCTTGACATGATCTGGCTGTCTTTTCTACCTTAGGTTTTTTACCTAAGTCACATTTGTAGTTCTACTCACTTTTGTGAACTTAAGATAAGTTTTGACTTGAACATATTTTATAATCTAATGCTATAAGTCTTCCACACTCCGATGTAAGTTATTTTTGTAACAAACGTTGTAATATTGTGGTAACTCCATTGTTATCCTATATGGGTTGTAAAAAGAGGATGATTCGGGGTTCCCTGAGGACACACGATAGACTACTGGAATTATCTGGCTCTCGTGTACAGTAGTCAGAGGTTTTAGGACAATGACAGGTGCACGTGGGCCATATAATTGGGATGGTTCTTCCACACCAAGTCTGGAAGTAACCCAAAGGCGTGGTCAAGAATGGTTCAAACGAAAGGAAGGCCCCCTATTAGTAGGCCCAGGGATGGACCGTTGTTGGTATATGTTAGATGCACACAGATTAATCCGCAAGCGCATGGATACCGATGTAGCACTTCAGCAGAAGTATTCTAAAATATTGAACTCAAGGAAACGTGTGTGAGTTTTACTAAGTCTAACTTAACCAGGAGTAGCAACAAGGCTTAGGATAAATAAGAGCGTAGAGAGGATCACTAAGGTTTTCTAATTCTAACTTGGGTAAGTTATGTCTTCTACTGTTTAACTAGGGACATTACTAAGGAAAGACACCAACAGAGGATTCTTTCCATCGCAACCACGTCCTACTTTGCCTACAGACAAGAGGTGGACTACAAATGACTCAATGAGTGCCACTCTCGCGATCTACCACCGATCGAGAATACAGGGTGCATCCACAAGTAGTCAAAGTCTAAGCACCACGCTTAGACTTAACAATTACTACTTTAACCTAGAGCTTCTATAGATTAAAGCACTCAAAAGGGTCACAAACCTGATGAACAATATAAACACGATACTTACTTGAATCAGAAATTAATTACCCGAGAAATCTCAGAAGCAAGCTCAAGTAGAACATGATTCCGCCAAGGTACAAGGCATAGAGAGAGCACCGACAGGCCGACACTTCCTCCAAACTCTTCCCTCACTCTCTATCTCACTATTTATATTTACAAAGAATAGATCCTATCATGAAGGACTACTCTTCTCTTGATTGCTGGCTCTAATCTTGATGATGAGGATGAGAATTTAGGATTTCAGGATGCTCTTCTGGAGGAGGTATGGGAGCCTTATATAGGGGGCACCAGGAGTCCTGTGGGCCCATGAATCCATGGCAACATCAAATCTGGACCCTCAAATTGAACCAACCTTGAACAACAGCGGAGATTGAACCTAGAAGGCGGTGGAGAACCGACATAGCAAGGGGGGGCTGATAGGTGGGCCCCTAGGCCGACCGACTTACAAGTGGGGCCAATCGGCCCCACCATCTGATAGATGGGCGTGGGTTTCTATTCGTTGCCTTCTATGATGCATCTAGAGTCTTCTAGATTGGTTTCGTCATGGTTGATCATGATTTGCTCTGATGAATAGGTCCACATTGCTAGTTTTTTGATTAAATCCTCCTACAGTTATGAAATCGCCAAAACTCGTGGAACTCATTAGCTTTAAACATTATAGCTATGTTGGTGATTCATTTTAATCATTTATGCAGCGTATATTGATGATTTATAATTGTCATTAACTGCCGTCAACAACTGTATAGCACGTGACTCCCAAGCCGTGTGGTGAACAACGGGAGGTCATAACCAATGTCAGAAACCCACGTGAGGCTAGGGAAATCGAGATCCTCCAAAAGACAGAGCTGGTACAACGTCGATGAGACCAGACGGCTCTGTCTAGATCTCGTACCCTCGCACGCAGTGCCCTGACACGACTGGGCTCAGTAGGACAGACACGTACCTAGCCATCTAGGCAACTTGACAGGACGGGACGTAACAGCCACTTACCGCATTGAACACTCAAGCCAGCAAAGGATCGAGCTCTGAGCTTGGACCATCCACGACCACAGGCTTACATGTGACACATCACCCTCGAAAATTAGCATCTCCACGATCACTCCAAGATCGCGAAGACGCTCGGGGGCTATTTTCGAGGTCAAGATACCCTGGGTATCTCAAGGCATCGATTAGTCAGCTACATGGGCAGCCCAACTGGCCAAGGCCTAGCAAGATGCAGCCAGCCTAAAAGCCACGAAGGCCCTGAGCCACACACCAAGACAAGTGGTCCACCACGACCCCTCCCTTCTCCTTCCACTACATGCTATGCAGCCGCACTCAACCTCTCCATTGTCTCGACCCTCGGGAGGGACAAGGAGAGGTCAGGCGAGGTCAAGTACACCTGCCCTGACAATGACATGCATGCTCCAGCTCTCACTCCGCCAGGACTGAAAGGACAGTTACCTCGGGGGCAGACACTGCACGGATAAGAAAACACCGCCAGGCGGTGATGACCAATATGGCACTACACCATCAAAATCTAGCCCCACAAGATGGGCGCATGGCCCCACCCGCTATAGGATGGGGCACATGACCCTGGCCTTGACTATGAAGACCGACCAGGCCACCAGGGGCCTGGACCTCGCAATCCAGGGTTGGGACCATCGACATCACGACCAACAAAGGCAACCGATGACCTGAGAGCGGCTACCTGCTCCTACACTGTCGCCATGACGCCACCAAGAGAACATGAGATGATGACGAAGGCCACGGCAGGACCATGTCGCGTAGGACAGTTGGTGAACCACCACCGTGCCAACAGTGCCGTCACGACCGACACTGTAGCATCATGCCACACATAGCCACGACATGGGAGCAAGACCACGGCGACCATGACGATGACCATATCTGAACGTGCGATGACGCTAGGACATGATAGGCTTGCTTATAGGCCAAGCTTACTCCTTTCTCCCTCCCTCGGGCTAACGACCACTCAGTCGGGAGACCCCCTCTCTCTATATGTAACCTAGCCCCCGAACTCTATATAAGGGCGGCCAGGCCTCCCTTCCGGAGGGCGGACTCTTGAGACTTCATTTGGGCATTCGTTAACCTCACTCCTTCTACCTCATTCCCTTAGCTTACACACCCCTTTTGTAAGACTTCAGAGCACTTGAACCGAGGAACACAAAAACGAACCATCTCTGAGACTGGACGTAGGTCTCCGGCCTGAACTAGTACGATTTCCTTGTGTCTTTGAGTGCTACCATTGTCTTCCTAGAGCAGTGCGACACACGTATAAATTCACTAGTCGGTTTACAAAACACCGACACCTTGCATACCCAATTTTTTGTGTTTAGATATGTTGGGCGGGACCTTTTTCGATTGGCCCCCTCCCCCTCGCAAAGAGCTATCCCGAAAGCCTTTCCTAGATGTTTTTGGTCGTTTCGCAGGATGGTGCATTTTGTCAGGACGTGGGAGGCTTCGCTAGGTCTCAACATACGAAGAGCTTTTGGAGGTGCGGGTGATGAGTTGTATCCCTAAGGAGGATCCCAACGAGGACCAGGTGCCCGAGCAAAGGAGCGACATGGCTCTGTGCGCGAAGTCGAGCGAAGGCTTTAGTGGTCCCCATGGTCCTGTGAAGGCGGATGCTTTTGCTTTTGGGGACTGCAGCGCCAGCAGCAGGGGCTGCGGGGGGCTCGGTGTCGAGCCCACGGTACTAGCGGCCATGAAGGGGTCCCCGCTGGGCCTCGTAGTTGGCGGGTCCATCTGGTCCATGGTGGCGACGGCACGACTGCCTCGGGTGAACTCCACACGTCGACGAGCCTCCATTTCATAAGCAGCAAGGAGATGTTGAGGTGTGCTGAAAACGCATACTGCAAGCGTATGTTTCAAATGTTTCGGATGTTTCAGAGGTATGTTGCAATTGTTTTAGGTGAATGTTGCAAAAGTAGGTGTGGGGGGAGGCATAAGAGTCCTTGTGTTGTTAGGGGGAACCTATAAATAGTGCCAATTGTACAACAGGAAGGGGTGGATGAATAGTGAAACCACCAGTTCGTTATTGCCTTCGCTATTCCATTCGCAACTTGAGAGTTCAGCAATTGCCCGTGTTCGAAGACTTCGGTCTAGAACAACAAGTTTACAGTATTTATTGACGGTTATACACACAGCTGGTACTGCACTTCATCACGCACCCTTGACATACTCCGTCTCTGATTCCTGAGCTGATCTACCCTTGCACTCGTAGTAGAACGCGGTCAACGCGCAGTTTTGGAACAACTCAACGGCGGCCATCAGGACGGTGTACAAGACTCCCAGGAGCAGAGCCCCCGACGCCATGTTGCTATGGGCGCATATCTTGGCCTGCCAGTAAATCGGCCTGAACACAGCGGCGAGCCCACTCATCACGGAAACAAAGAGCATGGCACGCCTCCGCCTGCCCTTCACCAGCTGCCACGCCCGCACGACCGCGCCGGAGCCATGGCAGCGCCTAGCTGCAGATTCATCCACGGCCACGACGACGGCGAGCGAGCAGAAGAAGGACAGGAAGATGTAGAAGACGAAGGCGGCGAGGAGGACCAGGCACCCGGCGAGAAACAGCCCGCGGTACCGCCTGAACGCGAGGAAGGCCACGAGGGCGGACGAGGCAAACAGCAGCGCGACGGCGGCGGTCTTGAGCATGCAGACGAAGGCGACCGTCAGCACGGCCCCCTTCAGCTGCTGCTTGGCTCTGCCGAGGAGCGCGCCAAAGGTGTGCACCTCACCGTCACCGGAGTATGTCGTGACGGTGGCGAAGAGGGAGACGAGCTGGATGACAGAGCTAGTGACGTCTACTGACACGAGATAGGCCGCGACTGCGAGGAAGAGGACCCTGTTGTCCTCCTGCGTCTCTCGGAGGAGGAGAGCGTAGTCCGGGCCTCCGGGGTCGGTGCTCATGAGCGCATCCATGTCGAGCCCGACCTCAAGCTTGATGGGCTCGACGCCAAGCACGTTGGCAACGACAAGGAGAGAGATCCAGGCGACGAGGATCGTGAAGATCGCCACGAAGAGTCTCGGTTCCTGCCAGGGAGGAGGAGGCCTTCCTTAAGGAAGTTCAAGAACGATGGGGTGGCTGAGCTTGGCTTGGTGGCAGCCATGGCTAGAGCTTAGACAGAAAGACGAGAGGAATGTCAATGTATTGAGATTATGAGAGGAGAATAACGTTGATGCTTTAAACCTTTATACTGTATGTAAGACGAGGGTTGAGGAGAGAGCGAGGCATTTTGCGATACTGAACTGATCGATCGGAAAAAAAATGGTGCTACTCCCTAAAAAATGTAAATAGAAGTTAAACAATCTTAAATTAATTTAATTAGATTTATAAAAAGTAGTATTAACATTTATATATTTAAATAGGTCTATTTTGAAAACATATTCCATAATCTAGTGATATTTGTTACGCATCATCAATTTTATTCATTTTTAAATAGACTGAATTGACACATATTAGTTATACAAAAGTTGATTAAAATTTATTTATTGCAACATCAAAATTAATATTATTTAGTCATTGATTTTAAATAGATTGAATTGACACATATTAATTAGCACTCCCTCTGTTTCAAATTATAATTAAGAAATTTTGGCATTTCTAGATATATAGTTTTTCACACAGGCGCCTGAACAGTTTTGTCCTTTTCCTTCCATAGAAAAAAATTATAATTTATTTATCATGATTTATGCTAATTAATAGATACATATTTTTTAGTATGTATCTAGACATAACCTATATCTAGGTGCGTAAATAAAGCTATGAATTTAGAAAAGCTAAAATATCTTATAATTTGGAACATGAGTAATATTCTAATCGATGTAATTAGTGATTAATAGCACGAATATTATTAGATCATTTCACCTAGTACTGTATTTTTATGAGGGTGCTGAGGGTATTGGATTCATGCTTTTTTAATACAAATGTAGAATGGGGCAGAGAAAAGTAATAGGAAAAGAATTTGGACACATCTATTTAGTGTCTACAATAGAAAGAAATACAAATATGGATATTCATATGTAGAAAAGAATATTTCTTTTTTGTTTTGAAAGCATTACTAGATTTAGGGTGCTTTGGCAGCAAGAAACATTCTAGATTCTCAAGAGAATCACAGGATCGTTGTCACTCGTTACAAAGAGAGAAATATTTTAAGGAGAATCACTTGAAACTGTTTACCAGTAGTCTAGAGAAATACCCAAAATCTAGTTTTGTAGTTCTTTTTCAAGAATCTAGTGAGCTATGATTCATGAAAGAAACATTTCTAAAAAGAAACTAGATCTGCAACGTTTCTAAGAGAATCTAAAACCCTGCCAAATGCACCTTCATATATCTAATATGAATTGGCGATCAAAACACATATGGATAGAACTTCTAAAAGGTTCTAAAAAAAAAAAAATAGGAGTATGAATGGAATAAAACTGAATTGATAAAACAATCCTAGCAAAAAACCATAGACATAGTTTAATTAATGTTGTGTACTTCCTCTGTCAAAAAAAAATTGCAACTCTCGCATTTCGAGGAGTCAAATAGTTTAAACTTTGACTAAAATTATATAAAAAAATACTAACACTAATGTGACAAAATAAGTACCATTAGTTTAGCCATAGAATATAGTTTCATAATAAATTTATTTTGAAGACATAAATGTTAATATTATTTATTATAATCTTAATCAAACTTGAGCTAGTTTAACCGGCACGGTTCCTATAATTGAGTTTTTTTGTGGACAGAGGAAGTATCTGATGATATACCAGACTTGACGACAATGCGTAAATGCAACGGTTTTTGGCCGGCACAAACGTTTCTTTCTCTGGTAGTGGAACTCTAAAACCTTGACGACGATGCATAAATGCACGGCCTTATTATTAGCTCAGCTGTGAGCTCAGGTTCAGTTACTTGTTCGATCGTTAACAGAAATGCTGACCAATGCAAACAGCATGCAGACAAAGAAAATCCATCGAATCTTTCGTAGATCTTGGCTATATATAGCTGTCGTTGGTACTTGGTGGTGCTCTAGTGTGGTTTGTACGGGCGAAACGAACGTTGGGATTCCCGACAAATCAACAAGAGGCAAGGTAAAAACAAAATGTTTTGAGTGTGGGTCATCCATGACGTGGAGCTCAGCTTGCATTGCAGTGCAGTGCAGTAGGACATACACTGGCAAAACAACCCTAAATAAAAATTATCGCGGCATCAACCGGGCTTATTGAGAATTGAGTGCAGTACGCTGTCTATTCTCACGTAATTAAAGACCTGTGAAGAAGAAGCTGCTAGACTGCTGAAGCTCAGCAGGCTGTGCAATGTGGGACCCATGCTGTGGCCCATCGTCCTGTCCTGCTCACCACCAATGAACCGAGTTTGGGCCTAGCCTAGTAATTTCGCTGAAAGCAACAAAGGCTTTTACGTCCCCTCAAAAAAAAAAAAAACAAAGGCTTTTATGTTTTACCTGACCGAGCTCTCTCTAGAAGCTTGATGGGCTCGACCGACGCCTAGCTCGTTGGCGACGACAAGGAAAGAGATCCAGGCGACGAGGGCGAAGATGGCCGTGAAGAGTCTCTTCCGGTTCCCGCTAGCTAGGGAGGAAGCCTTTCTTGAGGAAGTTGAAGGACGTACGATGGAGTGTGGCAGCTATGTCTAGAGCTTAGACAGAAAGATGAGGAATGCCGATGTATGTATTGAGATTATATGAGAGGGTCAGGCGACTGACATTGTTGGTTTTAACATTTATTTAAGAAGAGTGTTGAGGAGAGAACAAGGCGTTTGGTCAAAGCAACTTCATAGGAAAATGTGAACAATACATTATTATACATGCATGTCTCGTGCAATTAAAATGAAGAAGCCTGAATTAATCGGTCGATGCCTTGCATTTGCATATACATCAGTGACTGATGGGAGGAGCACGATTATATAAAGCCTATTAGAGCAAGGCCTCTACTTCAGCCCCTATAGTTAAATATGGGTGGCTAGGCCAAGAGCATAACTCCAGCATGGCCCCTACTAGAGCACCCAAATCTAGGTGGACACCCATTCCTATGGCTTTAGGCCAAGCCCCCAAAGGACGGTTTCCATCCGTTTCTCTCTTGCCAAGCTCTCCGGCTGCTCGATCTGTTCCCAGGCAGCACGCCTTCCCCCGGTTGTCTACCACCATCGACAGCACCCACTCGATCCAACATCCAGTGGCGAGGTAGAGCTCATGGCCGGCTCCTCTCGTCGCGCTCGTGGCTGGCGGCGAGGTAGAGGTGGCGGCCAGCTCCTCTCGTCGAGCTCGTAGACGCGGTGAGGTAGAGGTCACAGTCAGGACCTCACTTCTCGCGTCGCACTCATGGCCGGGTGCCCGCTCCTCTCATCGGCACTCCTACGCTCACGGCCAGGGCAATCCCTACTCCGCGTGTCGTTCTCACGGCCGGCGGTGAGGTAGAGGTCGTGGCTGGGTCCTCGGTTCTCGTGTCGCACTCGCAGCTAGGTACCCGCTCCTCTCGTCGGAGCTCCTTCGCTCGCGGACGGGTTCCCTGAACTCCCGCGTGCTTCGCGGCCAGGTCCGTCCCTGCTCTTCTCCCTTTCCTCATCGGCAGCATCTACACCCACATCTGTCGAGGCATCGTCCGCTTCCCCACCGGCAATCGATTTTCTTTCTGCATCCGCCGAGGCGTCATTCGCTCCCCCACCGGCGTTAGTCGGTTTCTTTCTTTTGACTGAGTGAGTCTATGATGAGTGGGTCCCACGTGTCATTCCTTGAGAGAATGAATTTGAGGGCTCTATATTTTGAGGGTCACTGTTGGAGCTCAATTCAGAAAACAGAGACCCCAAATGTGGGGGGAGGGCCCAAATGAAAACTAGAGACCCTGTTTTGGGGGCTATTGCTAGAGTTATGTTTGGTTGGTGACCAAAACGTGCCACGCCAAAGGTTCCGCTTGCCACAGTTCTTCGGCAGCTGTTTGGTTCACTGCCACAGGTATGGCACGCCACACTTTCTTAGCACCCTGCCCCACATGTCATAGACTCATTTTCATACCAAACCTTGCCACAAGTGTGGCTTCGATTTTATTCGCCACACTTTCTGTGGCAGCCACAATTTGCCGAAGGTTAGGCGTGGCATGTTTTGGTCACCAACGAAACAGGGCTCTTACGATACCTGATTTTAAAAGTCTGACCTCCTTCCAATCCCCCTCAGCCGTCATTAACTTGTCTTTAGCACCCATTGTGTTACTATCTCCATCACAAAAAGCATGATGCTACTCCCTCCATCTCAAAAAATCATAAGTATTGTTTATCGAGGAGTCAAACAATATTCACTTGATTTGATTAGGTTTATAGAAAAATAATATTAATATTTATATCTTCAAATAGGTTTACTATGAAACATATCCATAATTAATGTAGTGATAATTATAATGCTTCGTAAATTAGCAAATTATATATTTGGTCAAATTTGGGATATATTGATTTATTTGGAAGCGAGACTTCTATTTTGCTAGAGAGGGAGTAGGTTGATTTTATCTAGGTTTAAAATGTAGATGCATGTAGGGGTGAAAATGGTAGATGAAGATCTGAAATATTCGAATCAAGTGGTATATCATGTACACGATACTAATTAAAATATGTCTTTACTTTTTTTCCAGGATTGTTTTATCAATTCATTTTTATTCCATTTCTACCATGGAAAAAGTTCCTTTTTTTAGAACCTTCTAGAGTTCTATCCATATGTGTTTTGATCGCCAAATTGTATTATATATACTTGGATGCATTTAGCACTTAGCAGGGTAACGGCGAGCAACACTTTGCAAATATAGAAAGAGAGATCACAAGTGGTCAAAACTAAATGTGATTGGCCTTTTGGGACAGATGCAACGGTAATGGCGAGCACAAGAAGATAGATCAATGAAGAGCAGGTCTAGGGTAAAGAGATTCTGCTACAAAG